AAAGTAGGTTTCTGAGTAGAGCTTTGGAAAACCAGCTCAGAGCTTAAAAACTTCAAGTACAAACATTGTCATCAGATTCAACATAGTCGATTCCTGGGCTCTAAGGAAGGCCAGTACCACGCCCGAACCACTAGAAATCAAGATCTCACCTGGCTCCCGTTTTGAACAGGACACTTTGGGCTATCTATTCATAGAGAAAAATGAAAATGTTTGTACTTGAAGTTTTTAAGCTCTGAGCTGGTTTTCCAAAGCTCTACTCAGAAACCTACTTTAAAGAAGAGTTTTGAATTAATGTCTGTTATAATAGAAAAACAAGCCTCATAATTTGAAACGGCTAGTAGAAAATTCAGCAAGAAAAAAAGAGAAAATATTCCTCTAATTTTTCAAAGTTTTCTGGTAGAAATATTCATCCAGGAACACGTTAGGAAATATGTTGAATATTCTTTTTTCAGTTTTTGTCGATTTTTGGTAAAAATTTAGGTACAATCGGTCAATGTCTTCTAAGTGAAACGTTGCGAAATAGGCACACGTGAAAATTCGATTTTCAAAAAAATGTGGCGAATAGGTTTCAACGAAATGAGATGTTCAATATACTCATCTTTCAGATTAAAAGAGAAATATAACTCAAATGCTCCAAGATGGTATTCATAAAAAAACCTCTGTATATAAACTATAGATAACATTTGGTATTTAGTTATAGTATGTACTTTTCAGTTGTCTTATGAATACTTCTTAAGTTAAATTTACTTGCTGTATAGATACAATTTCTTTTTTCCTCGACAGTGGTTTAGTGGTAGTTAGACAATGATCACGTTTTCAACAAATGTCTCTCTTTAAGCTTACACAGTTTGTTAAAGATAAATAGACCGATTGGTCTTCTTCTTTTTATTTTTCTTATAATATCATAAGTAAAAAAGAAAAACAATGATATACGTCTGGAATGACTTTATTTTTCTCGGATCACTTTAGAAAGAAAAATTCGGGCGATATTCTAGTGCAAGAGCATCGATCATTTCATAAACTTACACAGTAGAGTTAACATAAGCGTCTTTCAAATTATGTACAAATTAATTGCTTTATTATTCTTAATTCATGAAATAGTGGCCGTACCTTTCAATATTGCTGAAACAGCAACAACAATGAATGATAATGCGGGTGAATTACCCACGAATGGAGCTGAATTACCGTTAATTTTACCAGCCTCTCAAACATCAACAATGACATATAAACCAATGAGATTGCTTGATCCAGAAGAAGGTCTCAAAATACCAACAGTCGATGTTAATTTAAAACCAAATCGTATAACAACACCAAATCCAATGATAATGCCCATCACCTTTTCAGCGACACCAACAACTATAATCGATGTAACACCTATGAAACGTGAAAAACGCGCCGTTGATGATGGGCAAACACCCATACCACACCGTGAACACAAGACAACAGCAGCTACAAGTCAAAGCAGTGAAGGATTAGAGACAGTAACTTATACATCAAAACGAGTAAGATACTATATTTATTTCTGCTGCTTATTTTATTTGAAGAATAAAATAAATTGTAAAGTATCCAAAACAAATCAAACCAAATTTCTGAAAATACTCGTGTGATTTTATCTTCGACTAGCATACGCGAAGATTAGGTTTTTCAATGCGAATGACATAGGTACTGAATGTGTTAGGCACGTACGACTCCTAGAGATAAAAAACTTCACTTGAGAACATCATATTTTCCCTTCATACTACCACTGAAGAGAGAGAAATATTTTAAAGATATATCCTCTAAACTAGACAAACAGAAAAATGTCATCGTTTCAGTTTTTGCGGAGAAAACGTCTTTAGTCGCTCAGGGAAGATTTTGTGCATGTTTGAACAATGGCATGCATTTGTTTTCGCTTTAATACTTTATGAAAGAACAATATTCTCTAAGCAATTGTGTTACATGATGTACACATGTGCTGAATACATGTACACCATGTAAACAAACAACTAAAAATGAATCTCATCGTTTTTTTTTCTTCTCTTCTTTCCTTACTATAGTCGACTGAAGAAACATCAACGAAAGGTACTAGTGATGCAATTTTACGAGCAACAACAGCATCACAAATTGAGCCTGAAAATGGGACAATTCAATCAAATTATTCTGGTAAAACACAAAAAATAACTGCTTATTTACCTGTTGATGTTGAGAACCAACAACAAGGTCAAAATGTGCCCATGTTAGCATTAGATCAAGATTTTTCAAAAACATTAGATTCATACCCGAGCTTAGACAAAAATATGAAATTAATGAATACAGATAATCTTCAACTTAATCCAGATGTGGGAAAATCACTGTTAACACAAGGTTGGACTATTATGTTTCTTATTCTTGCTGGATTATTGTTTTCTATATGTATCTCAGTCTGTATAGTAGCATTCATTGTAAGTCGAATTTGACATATTGATAATATATGTTATTCAGAGCTCGAGACTGACAACGCAGATAGAGGAAAGCGTTCTCAAAATACTAGGAATACACAAATATTCAGGTAAATGTTCTCAGCTCTGAGGTTTTCATGAATGTTTTTCTACTTTTTTGAGTTTAGCTCAGTTTTTCTTAAAATCTTCAAGCATTTGAATTAGGACTGTGATTTAACATTTATCATATATATTGTTCTTAGATATGGCACCATCATCCGATCAAACGGCGCAGTCGAATTCATGAAATGGACGCACAATTAGATAAACCCATCATTATCAATAATTTAATTCCAATTACTAAATCAAATATCAAAGAACATTTTATTCCATCACCAACGAAAAAAATTTACTAATATTTCAATTTTTCTTTTGTATGTGCATACGTGTTAGGTCATTTTTGTGTGTGTGCGTGTGTAAGTTCATAAACGTGTGCCATTATTTTATTTTTTTGAAATCAACTTCAAATAATACAACAAATATATTAATGAAACTTTTTTCTTAACTGGATATGTGCCCTCTTTTTTGATAATTAATAAACAAAACCGACATCTAGAGCAAAAGGAGCTTAAACTGGCACCTTCAGAATACAAAAATAAGATCGGCTACTACTGTCTGTTAACAAAATAAGGTGCGTAACTATTTTTTAAATAACTCGAGAACAAAAAGAGGTAAAAAGTTACGGTTTTCACTATTCGAAAGAGGAGACTTGAAAGCATGTTTTCATAATTGAAATTTTTTCAGAAGAGTTTTCTAAAACGGATTCTCCAGGAGATCTTTGGAAAACTAGACCGCGTGTAAACGTTTTCCATAGAATTGTATTCATTTTTTTCATGGACTGATAGTACGAGTCCCAGGACTGCCACCCGGTGACTATTGATAGCCTTGAAGACGGTTGAACTATGGATAATCGACCATCCTGCGTCTCGTGGCAATATTTATTTTGAGAAAAAATTCCAGAAATCTACCGAAAAGCGAATTTTACGAAAATTAGGGTTTTCAGGCAGTTTTCACCTAATATTAAAAAATTCACTATTCACTCAAAAAAATTCGGAACGACTTCAAAACTTCAGGACATGATTAATGTTGTCCGCTAAACGTGATTATAAGATGAAAGAAATAAAAAAGTACATTTTTATTAATAGGTTTTCCAGAAGCCGTTTTTGAAAACCTTAGGGTTCTAAAAATTTTCTTTTGAGATCTCCTACAAAAAATAGGATATAGAATATCTTAAATAGTCTACATTTTGAAGTTTTCTATTCGCTCGAATAGCTAAAAATCAAGGTTTTGCTTGACTCCTGTTTTGAAGAAGACCCTCCGTGCTATCAGTCCATGAAAAAAATGAATACAATTCTATGGAAAACGTTTACACGCGGTCTAGTTTTCCAAAGATTTCCTGAGGAATCCGTTTCAGAAAACTCTTCTGAAAAAATTTCAGTTATGAAAACATGCTTTCAAGTTTCCTCTTTCGAATAGTGAAAACCGCAACGTTTTACCTCTTTTCGTTCTCGAGTTATTTAAAAAATAGTCACGCACCTTATTTTGTTAACAGACAGTAGTTTTTTCTCGTTTTTAAGTTGAATGCTTAGAGTCTTCGTGATTATTGATTATTGTTGATTTCAATTTACAACAAAAAAGCGTGTAACTTATTTTCAAGTTATCAGCGATACAGCTTTTATTGATAAAAGCTAAGTTTCAAATGAATTGATTCAATTCTTGGCACAGATAGGTTCTAGTATCTCAGCATAAAATGCCTATATTCACGTCTAAATTGACTTATTAAGAATAAACGGAATGATACTCTGTTTGTGAACGCTGATTTTAATTAGAGGTGAACTTTCTTTCATATAATCATCCTCTATATTTCCGGTATTACTTAAACTTTCTCAAGATCACTGTATGCTGATTATATATGAACTTCAAGAAGAACATCGCTTCTATTCATAAATATTAGTTTATTAAAATTACGTATAGGGAACAAGAAAATTAACTTTTTCTTAAATATACTGTGTATAGATATTCATCATTGTTCAACTAGACCCAAGTGGTATACCGTCGTTTCAAAAATACAAAGATAACAAAAAAGAAAAATGATGCTTCTCATTTTCTTTTCTTTTTTTCTTCACTTTTTCTCACCTTTTGACATAATTTAATATGAAAAAAAGCGAGAAGAACTTTTATTACTACTACTATTTTATTGATGGTACTATACTGTTAGAGATGAGTATTAATCTAACACGTACATAACAAGTGATGTAATTTGATTTTTTGTTTCATCGATTGGCATTTTCTTTTTTACACTTGTCAGTCAATATTAAAAAGAAATTTTTTTTTTTCGTGTTTTTAACTGTTCTCGTTTATATATATGTTAATAATACCGACCAATTTTGGAAACAGAATATAAAGAACAAATAAACAGACAAATAGAAAAAGACAGAATGTATAATTATTTAACAGAAGAATGTGGAAAATTTTAATTCAATTTATAAATGTAAGTGTATAAGTTTCATTAAATATTTATCAAGGTTGTCAATATTAATAAATACATTTATTTTTCATATTTTCGAACTAATGGGTGAGTGAAGAGATATGCATAAAAGTGTCAAGCTGTCTTGCTCCATGATTCCAATATTTAAGAGATTTCGCTATTTTACGTGAAATATAACGCGTATATCAAACAAACTTTCTCTCACACATTATTCTATTAAGAAAAAATTTATCCTCTTCCAAATAGTGTACAATATGTTACTTATTTTTATTTAATTTTTGTAGAGAAACAATCGTTTATCTAATCGCTACTGAAAAATGTCAGACATTAAATACGAATTTTTAACCTGAATATTTTGAATCCTCTATGCAATCTTTTTTACAAATTAATGTAAAACTAAGATCTAATATTATTCACGTCTTGCTTCTGGTACTCATTATGCATAAAAAATTTGATTTTTGGAAAGTTTTTTAGAAAATCACTGAAAATAACTTGAAATTTTTCTTTAAGAAGCTTATTAGAGTTTTTCACGATAGCATATTTTTTCATGTATTTGACTTCAGTCAAGAAGTCGTTTTGTTTTTATGAAACAGACGAAAAGTCTTTTTGTATGTCATACTGCACGAATATTTTCAATAATATTTGGTTTCAAGATACTGTTCTTATTGAAGTTTTGTGTAAGACAAGTTTGTCTACATAATTCATCCTTCACAAAACAGCAAAAATATAAAGAATATTGGAATCATGGAAGAAAGAGCGCTCGATACGTTAATGTAAAACTTTTGTCTCATTCATTATAAATACCATCAAAATATTTTTCTTCACTATTTTGTTTTTTAAATTAATAACAATAGAAAAAATCTAAAAAAATTGTTTAATCTTTTTTATTAATAGTTCTTATTGATTAATCAATTATTCCTTGCATCATTCTCCAACGAAATGACAACTACTATAGTAGAAGAAGAAAATATTTCAGTAACTAATATCATGGTAGTTTCCGAAACAATATCAAGTTCTCTATCACAAGTATATAGTGATCAACATTCGACACTCATAACATCAAATCATGCTCATACAATTGAAAATACTTATGATAGTTCTTTAACGTCATATGTTGACATAGATGTTACAACCGTATCAACAATGATCTCTACGCTTTATGAGAAACAAACGACATATCTTAATTCAAGTAATATATTAAAACAGTTCTGATGCAGAAAAAATATGCAAGTAATAATATTTCTATTAGATCTACTGTTTGATACTTCTACATCATTTCAAGATGAAACAACGACAAATAAACAATCATCATTGGAAAAAAATATTGTTTCTACTATATCGAATTTAATAACCGAAAATATAACTCCAGAGAATATCTCAACGATGTGTTTAACTACAAAAAATCCAACAGTATATGCAACTCAATCGATGAATCAAGCAATAACGAATACCATAGCATCAGGTACACAAGAAAGCTTACTTCTTTTCTCTTTTACAATGGTAGATCTAAAAATTTTTTTTGTTTTTTTTTGTTTTTACGAAGATAATCATTGAAAAATATTTTCGATTGATGTACCCGCATCTATGTCAAATTTGCCACTGCTCTTATAGATAGTTTACAATTATTCTATCATAGTGGTCTTGTTAGGGTACTTGAGAAGTAGAGTATAGTTTGTTGAGTTGTTATTCAAACTGATAAATTGGTTTCATATTTCATCAAGTGTTTCTGTCTATTAATCGTTCTTTACCTTGACATTGTATTCTCTAATGCAAATATATTTTTCTTTTACAGTTCACTAATAATTAAATCTCTCTTCCTTTCTCCTATCTTTTCCGTAATAATAATGGTAATACGTAGGTATACGTCTCTGTTATCTATTAACGACGATTTTTGAACAAAAAATAGATTATTTCATTTTAGTTTCAATAATATTATCCATATTTTCATTGACAATAAAAACAAAAGATACAACAATATCAGTTGATGTTACTATGCGTTTAACATGTAAAAATGACTTTAATATAACGTTAATGTTTAAACCGGTTGATACAAAATATGATAATTTTACAAGAAAATGTTATTTTATCAAAAATCAAAAGCAAGCAACATGTGACAATTTAACTTATGGTATATTAAATACGATATCTTCAACTTTATACGAAAAAAACAAACATTGATATCTAAATTTTTTTAATTCTAGGTCTTCTACATAATATCGAAGGTTTTATGTATTGTGGTCGAAATCTAACAAAACTTACAAATGATAACAAACAGCAATTATACGGTAGAAATTATAATTATATTGAACTGATGAAAACTTGTACTTTAAATAGTTTTCTGTTTGTTATAGTTCCTATAAAACCGAAATATCTTGGTTCATTCTCAACAACATCAACAATAAACTCAACATTTTTATTACCTGGTATATTTAATAATTTTATTATTCAGATACAAAGTGTAAATCATACATGTAACATTATTTATGATCAACATGGCAGACAAAATGGACTCTACAATTGTTTATTCACTAATCTTAGTCCAGCACAATGGTACGTAATTGCATATCATTGCTATAGAAATGATCACATATCTATGGGTGATTTGGTTATGTCATATACAGGTTTGTATAACTTATAGTTTCAATTAAAAACACTCAAATATTATAATTTTATAATATTAGATTTAGAAGATTTAAATTTAAATTGTCATGTAAATCATACGATAAATTTTGTTCGAATACAATGGACAAAGTTATTAGGTGATTATACAAATCTAAGCGTAATAGTAAGAGAAATGAATAATACAAACAAACAGTTTATCTACACATGTGATATTCATCAACAATATTGTGATGTTAATTCATTAAATTATGGTCAACAATATGAAATTATAGCTTCTATTAAAAAATTTTTACCCAATTATGACAAACAAAAAAATGAAACATGTACAATTAAAACTGGTGACTCATTGCAACAATTATCAAGATATTATACAACATTAAATTTATTCGACTATTTTAGATCTTCCTAGTGTATCAATTTCATCTATAAAACATGAGAAAATAGATGACTTTTCATATAAAATTACTTGGTCAATTCCACCATTAAATTCATTTGATTTTATTCGTGCAACATTAGTCAATATTGAAACAAATCAAACGTATTATCCATCACAACAAAATGAATTATATATGGTCATATTCGATCCATTAGAAACAGCCAGTATTTATGTACTCAAACTAAATATATCAAAATTAGACTGGAAATCATTCGTACAGAACACAAATTATTTTATACAAACTGGTAAGTCATCTTGAATGATGAGTAAGAATAATAGTAAAATTATTTAACAAATAGACTTACATTATTTTAATTTTTTGCTCTCAAGATCTCGAGCAACCAAGGATCGAGACAATTACGCGTACATCATCTAAATTAAGAATATTTTTACATCATTTTTTATCCACGCGTCAAGTAAAATTAAAATATTGTTTACAGTTAATGTGTACAATGATCGACGTTTCTTGTGTGAATACTGCTAATAATTGCACAACAACCGATCGATTTGAAATTTTATTTGAAAAATTGCTACCAGCCATGATATACAATGTTTCAATCGTGAACACACGTCATGTATTTGAAATGTACACATGGCCAGAAATCGGAACATGGAAAGTAATTAATACAGGTAATATTACATACATTGTGAACAATATTCTCCTAACTGAAAGAGAAGAATCTTACAGAATAAATGTTCACCATCCTCAGTGTAAAATGATGGAAAGCACAATCCATATCAATAAATTCTTCAATAGGATCCTGAATAAGCATCCAATATGGCCTAACAGCTTCCTATAGAAATTCTATATGAAATGATGGCCATTCTGTCTTCTAATAGAAGTTCCATTGAAATTCTATTGTAAGTTAGAGTTTTTGACCTGACTAGTGTATCCGATTAAGCTAAAATTAGTAGGATAGAGATTACCCGAGTAAAAATCTCGATTAAATCTTGAAGTTTTTGTGCAAAGATCTTAACAAAACACTTGAGAGTTATCATTAAACATTGTCTCTTTGAATGTTTCAAGTTAATGAACTAACTTCAGATATGTAATTAGAGTATCAAATGACAGGATAAAAGCTTTTAATATGAAGATTCAGCTAGAAAAAATTTTCATGCTTTTGATAGCTAATAAAATGTATCTATTCATACACAAGTATGGAAGGATGATCGAACAGTTATCAGTATTAGAAATGTTGCTCTGTTACCTGTCATCTATGACAGCTTTATTTTTCAAAACGTCTGAAAATTGATCGGAGACTATTTGTGTCAAAGATCGAGCGAACTGGAGTTGAACGTGACTTATAATAATCGATACACGCCGCTTTTATTTTATAGCATTTTTATCAGAATCAGCATTAGAAGTTCGTTCGGCACAAGAATCTGAACAGAGCGTTTGTTCAGCCGAAATTAATTGGCCATTGATAGTCCAAGCATCTTATATTAACATACTAACTAGTTGTAAATACCTTGAGATTGATAATTATAAAAAGTCAAAAAATTCTGTTTATCAGTGTAATGATTTACGTTGTGGATGTTTATATCGTGCTCAAGCCGTTCTTTTTACTAATCTAACGTGTCAGTGGGGTACGAATGCATGTGATTTTCAATGGAATTCGATCAATGAAACAACACTATTTCAAACACGTAAGTATTTTCAAATTAATTAATTGCCTTTTCAGTTTTCATTTTTCTTATCCACGTGATTCTGAAAACAAATAAAAATAAACTTTAATTTTTGTTATTGCAATTCAGCATTAGAGTCTATATCTAATTTACGTTTATCAATCAAATCGAAAGATATTGAAGTGATATTTCGTCGACCAATGGGCTGCTATGATGAATTATATTTGATATGTGAATCAATGAACAATAACAGAGAAAAACAAGAAATTAAAATTACAAATGAATTCAACAATCCAACAATGACAAGTCGTTGTAATGATTTGAATAAAAATGAAAAGTACAGAATCTATGTTCAAACAAGACGAAATGGATGGGATACAGTTAGTAGCCATGTTCTGGAAACAAATTTGAGTGAGTTCAGTATAAGAACATATTTAAAATGTTGATAATTGAGTTTTTCCTTTATTAGAACGTGAATTCATCTATATTGTTATTCCTTGTGTGGTCGGTTTTACAATAGTTATCCTTATCATCATTGCTGCTGCGTTTATTTTTCGTCGGTATGCGTAAATATTACAGAATTTTATCTTTTACCTATAACTATAATATTTTAAGTACGCCTATCAAAATCAACAAAGTCTAAGATGGGTGTCAGACATTACGGAGTTTTCTGTACATCTCTTTGTACATACATTTCTAGATATTCATGTACTGTGTGTGTGTGTACATGTATGTCTCAGTTAAACATCTGAGAACAAAATTCTTTCTTTTTTCTTCTAGTAGACGTTCTAGAAATAATCTTAAACAACCTACTACAAATATGAATAATATTGTTAATCAAGTTAATATGTAAGTTTTCTCTATTATGTAAGGTTTCCTTTATCTTTTACTTATTTTCCTGTCGTTTTTTTTACAGCTATTCTAGTAGTTCAAAACAAGTTCATCCTCTAGATGCTGAGAGGTAAGTTAAAAAGTGTAAATATTGCATTCAGAAAATTATTAAAAAATTTTAATTATTTAGGGAAATGTTGTTGTCCAGGTAAAGTAATCTATTATTTTTGTATTTTGATCTGTACATTCATCTATTTATTAGACCAATTCGAATAAAAGATTTACCATCTGAATATGAATTATTAACAGAAAATAATAATTTCAATACTTCGGAAGAATTTAGTGTAAGTATCAATGAAAATAAATTAAACTGTTCTTGAATAAATTAATGTATTGTTTTCATTTTGTCTAGAAACTTCAATTAACATTAAATATCTTGTTATCAACAATAACTCCAAACGGAACTTATCGTATAAGTGAATGTGCATTATTGCCATGTAATGTAGGAAAAAATCGATATAAAGATATTATGCCATGTATGCGTAGTAATTGATGAATATCAATCAAACGTGTGAAAGATTTTTTTCTATATATAGATGAACATTCACGTGTAAAACTAATACCTGTCGATGATTGTGATACCGGTTATATAAATGCAAATTTTATTAGTGTAAGTGGTTTTGATAGGTTTGTTTAAATTAAAGTCTCTCACCCTCGAGAAAATCTCTCTCGGCAACCATTAGTCCAATTTGTGATCATACTTTCAGAGAATAATGATCATGCCGAAGAATAGTTACGATAGATTTTTAGAGACTCTTCCTATTTTTATCCAGTGATGATACCTGAATAAGGGTCAAAATAAGCCATCGTCCGGCATTCTTTTCTCTCTCAGAAAGCATGTAGTGAGCTCGAGTTGGTTTTAACACTTTCCACAGTGTAAACTGATGATGGCTTAAATTAAAAATCGAGTTCTTTTACGTTCGTTGCTTCCACATGTCTTAGCTTCTGCTTAAAAGAATGAGTCCATATTGACTTTTCGTTATGGAGGTGTTTGCCGGACTCCAAGTAAAAAGACAGTTCTGAGAAAAAATGCAAAGAGTTTTCCTTCTAAAAACTACTCTTTTGATTTATTTCGGTTCCTAAGGGTTTAGTGAAGTTCTCTATAGTTTTTCGACCCTAAAGATTCTAATATGCGTACTCTCTAACAAAAAAGGTTTATTACCAAACTTAAAAGGGTATAGAGAAGTGTAACCATTTCTAAACCCTTTTAGATTTCGTAGAAGACAAGGTGCAGTACGAAACCATTTTAAGCGCATTGTAACGATTGATCAGTGCATTTTGCTTACTTCGTTATGTTTTTTTCCTCATGACTTTTTCTCGAAAAATCAAAAATTAGAGAAGTTTCAGGTATATTTTGGGCTCAGTTTTCGCCGTCCTATACAATGAAAACTCGCATAAACTGCTGAAATGGTCCACTTGTTCAGAAAAAAAGTCCTTTAATTTATGCACTTAAAAGGTTTCGTACTGCACCATGTCTTCTATTCTACGAAACCTAAAAGGGTTTAGAGATAGTTGCACTTCTCTATACTTTTTAAGTTTCGTAATAAACCTTTTTTTTTTAGAAAGTATGTTCACACATGTGTCGTATATTTTTGTGTGTCTAAGCGCTTTCTTCACAATACTATTTTTTAGCCTATAAATCATATGATATATATATTTCTACGAAACTTCTAGAAAACTTCGTGAACAATCCCTAAAATACCAATTTCCAATTTAGTAATTGAAGTAAAATGTAAAAATATATTTTACCTGAGATTTTTTCAAACTCTTCTTTTAAACATCGATAAATAAACNGTTTTTAATCGAATAAAAATTAGTGCATTTGAAAGAGCACGCTGGAGGCTATATCTTCATGCACTTTTCTCTAAACTGATATTTTTTGACGAAAACTGTCTCTTCTAACCCTGAATACGGGTCACATATGTCAGATACATATACATGATTCTGTATTCAGAGCAAATTTCGAAAACATATATATATGGGTTCCGCCCTTCAAATATTAATGATAAATCTATCTTAGGGTGTGCATAAACCTCGAGAGTATATTGCGTGTCAAGGTCCATTGAAAACAACTGTAAATGATCAATGGCGTATGATATGGGAACAAAATGTACGAATTATTGTTATGTTGACTGGTCTAATTGAAAGAGGAATTGTAAGTCATTTTTTTAAAAACAAATGTGTGACGAGTCCGACAAATGTAGTAGATTCGACTTTAGACCAAATGTGAGCAATATTGGCCAGAAGAAATCAATAAAGTAGAGAGCTATGGTGATATTTATGTTTATGTAAGTGCTTGTGTTGATGTACCAGCATACGATTTACGCTACATACAAGTGCGAAAGGTAAGTAAAAGCGGAAACTCTTTAATGTATGTTATTCAATTTGATTATTAAATCACATAAGAATGATGACGTACGAACAGTGAAACATTATTATTTTAAAATGTGGGATGATCATTCTACACCGAGTCAGAGTGATATCCTGGTGGATTTTATTCGACTGATAAGAACAGAATGTAAACTAGAGTACGGACCATTATTAGTTCATTGTAGGTAGGTATTTATTAATCATTTTTTAAATTGCTCTTCATATTATAATATTGATTTTTTTATGTAGTGCTGGCGTAGGTAGAACGGGAACATTCATAGCACTCGATCGCTTATTACAACAATTTGATCGATTACCATTTCATGGATATCTCGATGTTTATAGTACAGTATTGGATATGAGAAAATGTAGAGATAAAATGGTTCAAAATGAGGTAATAAGTCATACATATATATATATCTGAAAGTAATGACTTTTCTCGTTAAATTCGTAGCATCAGTATGTGTTTATTTATCGATGTTTAAAAGAAGAGTTTGAAAAAATCTCAGGTAAAATATATTTTTACATTTTACTTCAATTACTAAATTGGAAATTGGTATTTTAGGGAGTACTCATTACGCAACTATAGCTGATCAACCAGTATAACAACAGTGTTATTTTTATTTATCTCGTTTTATGTCAGATTTTATTTTTGTATCAAAGTATTTTTTGTTATTATTTTTACATTTATTTAGTAAAATGATGAGCTCAAGTTCATCTTAAACTTTCTTCTGTCTATTTCTAACGCTTTTCTACGAGGACAGATATTAACCACTGACGCTGAAGGTCTTCGTTCCTCTGGATGGCAATGCCAATCGGCAGCGGCGTGTAGCTACCAGCGACTCAGCTGACGTCCAGGAGAGACGTGATGGAGTTAGATGTGTAAAATCAATGTTGTGTCAACTGTGAAGGAAGTGTATATCACTGCTTTTGGAAAAAAAGATGATGCCAATAGACCTATGCAAAAAAAGTTTTCTAATCCAACTTATAATTCAGGTGAAAATATGATTCTATCAATATATTCAATGAATTTTTTCGAGATCGGGTGACAGAGGCAGTGCAATGGTTAAGAATTAATAGGAACTATAATATTCATAAAAAGGATATTTAGACATCGTTAATTTTATTATTAAACTCTAACTCAGTTAGTTGATAAAGGACGAAAATAACTTCGAATGTTTACAGCATTGTATAACCCATTGCGACACTTTTCGAAATGTGTCATTTTTTTTGATTTATTATTTTTTTCATAGAAAAATTCATTTAGATCGATTTTTTTCTTTTGAAAAAAACCTATTTAAATTTATCTTTTTAGAATTCTTTTAGAAAAATTTGTTTAAATTAATTTTTAAAAAAATTCATTTAAATTCATTCTGCGTAACGTTTCGTGCGAAAAATCTATTTAAATTCATTTCTTTCTCAATGAATCTGATTTTGGTTCTTGTAAAAGGTTAATCTGAATTTCTTTTTTTTCCAAATCAAAGATAAAATGCACTTCAATAGATTTTCTCAAAAAACTAAAACCAGATTCATTGAGAAATAAATAAATTTAGATAGATTTTTCATATAAAAAGTTACGCAGAATGAATTTAAATGAATGTTTTTAAAAATTAATTTAAACAGATTTTTGTAAAAGATTTTTAAAAAAGTAAATTTAAATAGGTTTTTTTTCAAAAAAAATCGATTTAAATTGATTTTTTCATGAAAAAAAATAATAAATCAAAAAAAACGGCACATTTCTTCAAAAAGTGCAGCAATAGGAAGGCACGACAAATCAAAATACTTTCCACTTTGTAAGATAAAAGTACACTTGTTTCAGTTACATAGAGTGATTTTGCCACTGAATCTTGACTTTTGGCTCTATTCGTGAGGATTTTTAAGTTTTCTGAGTTACCTCGAATATAGCATAATCTCTTGCTGGCTGATATTTTTTCTATCCTTATCTTGATCTGAAGACAGGCAGTTCGGTTTCTCAAGAGAGGGCGTTAGATGTCAGTTAGCGGGATCACTACTAAATTTAAAATGCTGCAGCAAATATTTTAAGAACATTAGCCGAGTTTGCCAACTGGAGTAAGACTCTTGATTGATTGCTTATTTATACTCAATTAATAATGATACTTACTGTTGCTCAGTAATCGAAAGAGCATGTAGATAATAATGGCTACGAACAAGTATTTTGGTGCACACAAAGCCAATAACAACTTTCTAAATTAGATACTTGCATTCTTTTCGTATAAACATATTTATAATCTGTGAAAAAAACGATCTTGATTTGTTTGACTCACACTCCTTTTCTGTAAATATTAGCTAAAGTATTTCTAATACAAATTTTTTATTTTAGATAAATTCAAATTTTTTCGAAGATGACTCATTTGGATTCAAGGTATAAAATAAAAATAATATTAGCTTTTCCAATCTTCAAGAGGATACTTTTTCTGTAATAGAAAACTACGATTTGAAGGATACAACTCTCCATTGTAGCTAATAGAGTATCTTGTGAGTTTTAGTAGTATTATTTCTGAATATTCAAATTTAATCAACATGAAGTTGTTCAACACTTACCGCAAGTTTCACGACTGCAACTTTGACTTTGGAATCAGAACTATATACTACTATTCAAAAAAGTTTTCTCGTACCGACCAACGATGTTTCACTGTACGTTGTAATATAGTGGTGAAAAGACTAATTCAGTTTTTTTTATTTCAGCATGCTAGCAACATACAATAGTTTGATGGATCCCCACCTTGCATGTTATTTCAGTAGTGAGCAAATAAGAAAGCATTTAAGGCTTGCTGGATTAGTGAGTATAACATATTTTCTCCTTTTCAAAGTTCATAAATTTTTCTATTTGTTCAGATAAGTCGACACGGAAATTTGATACCAGATTCAGAATATCGAACCAGATTAGCTAATAAAGAACATAAAAAACATGTTCGACAAGCGTTGGCTGAAAATATAGTTCATCGGTCTGAAATTTATTCAATGTATCTATTATTAATATATTTTGCTTGTATATCTATTAATTTTATAGAGCACTGGATATGGAACGTTTTCGACAAGCCGAACTTCGCAGACAATTTGAAATGGTTGCTAAAGCTGCTCTTGTCAATAGTGTAAAAGTAAGAATATCAGTTCTTGAAATAGAATAAGAGTTGTACTTTTCACTGATTATCAGGAATCGAGAAGACGCCCAAAAAACTCTCATAATACAACAGCAGATGCGGCTATGTTACAAATGAACTCATCATGGAGTCATCTAAGACCCAGAAGTGCCAATAACGATATGCAAGTGGTATGGGATGACTATGTTGTTCTTTCATCTACCAGTTTATACATTCTTCTTGGTACTTTTATTTTTCAGATGAATGAAGAATTCGGAGAACATTCACGAATCCCACGTGTGCAATCAGCTCATGTTTCTGGTATAAAAAAAGCGAAAAGTCCTACGCGTCGATTACAACGATCAAAAGGAAATACAGCACCATTGACTCGTTCCTTAACGGTAAAATTTTTACAAGTTTCAGACAATATCATCTACGACTTAACCTTTTAAATGAAGTTTAAATTTTATTCTTCTTTTAGAGTAGTGTATCACGTTCTTTCTCACTCGCGAAAGAATTATCTCAATGTGAAGTGTCAATGGTCTACTACGGTCCTCATACAAAAATTGATTATGATCATAATGTGTTTGAACCAGTTGATGAAATTATTGTTATGCAACAGCATTGTGGGGGTGAAAATTTAATTGTCTATAAGGATTTTTTGAAAGCTGGAGGTAATTAATTCTTATATATATTTATTAGCTTTATCATATATAATTCGATCTATTTTATATTATCAGACACATTTCAATTTAAATCAAAACGTCACCCTGATTTTCCATTCGGTTTGTCGTTGTATGTCAAAGGTTTAATCGACAGTCGAATATCAACATGTTGTGAATACAAACATCGAAATGGTGTTCGATTAGGCGGTGAACGTGGCCATTTTGGTATTCAATCCGTGAGAGGTTCTAAACCGTGTATCAAGTATGACACTGTTTCAGTACGATAAAATGCAACTTCATCACTTCACTTTTCTCTCTTAAAGATGTCGTTTTGAAAAAACTGCAAGACTAAGGAAATATGCTGCATCACCGCATGATAATAATGAACAAAAAATAGTTGAACCAATTATCATTTCAAAGCCTGTAATCAAACTTTGTTTACTTTATCATATTATTTTTTATGACGATTATTTCTCTAATTAGCCATCTGATGCAGAAAAATCAAAACCACGACAACCAGTTCAAATATCAGTTCAAACATCAAAATCGAGTAAGCTTTGTTAATTAATTTTAGTGATGATTAATACCAAAGTGACAAATTATTTTCATGAATAGAGTAAACTAACGGGAGCTTTATAATAAATGAGCCTTTCAGTATTTTGATTATAACTTTTTTTCCTTTAAGGATACAGAGTTATTTCTTCTTTTTAAAGGTTTGCCGTTTTATTCTCGACAAAAAATATATTGAACAATTTTTTACATATGCTAAAAATAAAGAAATACAGATGAAATACTGTGAAATTTCAATCTTCATTACTTTCCAACTCAAAGCATAATGAAAAAAACATTTTGAACACATTGCCATGCATGAAAGTGGAATCGAAATGTATGTTCTTGAGCTTTGAAGCGTCATCTTTCGTTTCGTGTATCATACATTCGCTTTAAATGTGTTTTTCTGATACAAAAAGCGATTTTATTAAAATTCATCGAAAAAGGGAAAATGTAACTTCTTCACGTTAGTACAAAAAAAGAAATGAAACTATTAGACTTTTTCGGTTAGGGAGTAATAGAAGAACTATTTTGCTTTAAAATAAAATAAATCCATCTTCAAAATGATGGATTTTAGCTGAGTTATAAAGAATTTCTTATATGCCTCAAACATTCAGTTTAGGTTGAAAAGTAATGATATTTCATCTGTATTTCTTTATTTTTAGCATATGTAAAAAATTGTTCAATATATTTTTTGTAGAGAATAAAACGGCGAGTCTTTAAAAAAAAGAAATAACTCTGTATCCTTAAAGGAAAAAAAGTTATAATCAAAATACTGAGAGGCTAATTTTTTGTGATATATTACCCGTATTGCTATACAATACGGGTAACGATACTACCCTAACCGTCTCTCTCAGATTTTGATGAAACGTATAAAGTGACAGGATAAAGTGATTACAAGTATAAAAACCATTCGTACCTGCATTGAGTTTATGAGAAAGATCTTACAATGTGTATTTAATCATAACTTTAGTAGAAACAACGTCTATACTAGACAACATCTCATTTTGAAGACAAATATTCCAGTTGTACTTGTATATTTGTATGTATCGTGGCTCTAGATTATATTTACTTCAGATTGTGGTAGTTTTTACTATTGTAAAAGTAAAATGAGTATAACTCCTCAAGAACTCCGTGTTGACACGAGTTGCGTTCCTAATAGCGTTTTTCTTAATAGCGTTACCAGAGTTCATTCTTTTCTTGTTTGTTTTGGTTTAAGCTTATACTTCCGAATACAAATAAAAACTACAGTTTTTCTTGTTAAAGCATATTCTAAATATTTAAACGATTGAAAGAAATAGTTCTTATTTTTTCTGCTAACATAGTTATCATAATCCTTCTTGTTTTACTTTTAGCTCCAGGAGGTTATACTTCAGATTTCAGTGATAGTCGATCTGTAGATACCGAAGAAGACGTACTAAAGAAGTTTGAACCAAGAGAACGCAATAAAACAGATACGAGCAAAAATACGAGTGATAATAAAATGTCGCAGGCGTTTTCATCAAAAGTGGTAGTGTTTCACATTTTTTAAAAATCTTCTAAAAAATAGAATAACATGTAAATATTCTAGTCTGAAAAAAATCCAGAACCTGTTCTCAAAAAACACGTATCTAAAACAAGTTCAGCATCTAGTGACGACGAATCATCTAGTAAGATTTCATATTTTGTTTTTTTAAGCATTACATGATCTATATTGACCGTTTATCTTTCTAAATAACAGGACCAAATCATTCAAATGGAAAAACATGGCAAGTAATATTTTATACATCCAATTCTCAAACGGCCTCATTAACTGGTGGACAAAGTCCTCAAATAAAAATATCATTCATAAATAATCGTGGTGATGAAACAGAAGAATTTATTATTTCGACGAAAGATTATGGCAATTGTTTTAAATCCGGTAAACGTGATCAATTTAGAGTTAAACTCAAAGATATTGGTTCACCGGAAAAACTACGACTCATTTTAACCGATGATAGCGAAATCGTATCAAATCGAAGTGATGAATCTAGTGATTCGAATGAAAAAAACGAAACAAAATGGCATGTAGAAAAAGTAATTTAATTAGGTCAGAGTATATTTTATAGCATAAAATATTGAAATGTTATCGCTTTTAGATTGAAGTCGTTGATCCAAAATCACAAAAATGTGTCATATTTCATTGTGACGACTGGCTTGAATATTCAAAGAAACAAAAGAAACAAAATGAAAAAATATTAAGTCTACTCAAGGTTGATAACAAAATAATCGTGTGTATATAAAATATGGTTAAAATTTGAATCGTTTTCGTTTCAGATTCAATCCAAATCTGAGTTTCCGTCTAGAAGAAAGACTAGTTCATCATCAACATCATCGGTACCATCTATAAATAAACGTCGAAAATCTTCATCGTCCGAAGCGCGAACAATGGAAAATAATTCTAAAATGCCGATTCGAATGGCACCTGATATAAATAGTTTACATTCGGATGATAATAGTGAAGAAGAAGAAAAAAAAATACTACGTCAACCATCACCAAAACAACAACAGACAAAACGCGAACCAAGTGTATCCAGTAAAGACTCACGATCTCACGCGGATGATGGTAGAACACATTTCTTATCCATAAATAGAAATACTCTAACTTTTATTAGTTTTCTCAATAAAAATAATCGAAATCGAACATTTTCCTGTTGCTTTTTTTAGGCGAATACAAATGGCAAATAATTATATATACAGCAAAAACTATTGATGGAAGTTTAACCTTAGAAGATGATAGTTATGTTTATGTACAATTATATGGATCTCAATTAGATGAAACAAAAAAATTAAGATTGAATAAACTTGGACATTTTGAACCTGACACACATGAGACATTTAATGTCACATTAACAAAAAATTTAGGTAACTATATAGATAGTATCTCTTTACCGGTAAAAGACATCTATGTGCAATTTTTTAGGTGAACCAAAGCAATTAAAAATTGGTTATTACAATGATCATGTAACAGCAACAAAATGGAATATAGAGAAGGTAAAAAGATTAAAAGAATATACGCATATTAATAATTCTTCTTCTTTGTTAAGATCGTATTAATCAACGGCGAAACACATAAAAAATATGTATTTCCTTGTAATGATTATTTAAAACGGGAGGATCATACTGCTGAAAAAATACTCGATGTTGAAAATGCAGACGATTGTAAGTACAAAAGGAAACACATTTTTAATACATATATTTTCTTTAATCTTATTTTTCAAGTTAACGTATCATTTATTTAACCCATTAAAGCCCAATGTTGTTCCCTCCCCGCAGACAGTGAGATAATCCATGTTAAGCAACAAAAAACTGATTTTGTATCGACTTTTAGGAAACTACATTCGATTAATTAAACCATTTACCATTTAAGGGTACCACCCCTCTTTTTTTACCCTCTCAGAAACCGCAGAAGCTGATGTCGGATCGGGTTCAAATTTATATCAGAGATAGAACATCGAAAAAGAAAATCGACGTATTTTGCCCCGAATTTTCTCACATGTTCTTCTATGGGTTTTCTGGAAAACTTCGGTTTTCATCCAGTCACATTACAACCCCTTGTAAAAATGGTCCGATCGAGCTCAAAATTTTACCACAGATACTTCAGACCCTATCTCAGGTTCGTTTTTCTTCTTTCGAAAAATACTGAAAATCCCATATAAAAAACCGGTTTTTTATTTTGAAAACCTTCTCGCACTGAAAGTTAAAATCGAAAACGCTTTTTTAAAAAAACGAAGTATCTGTAGTCAAATTTTGAGCTCGATTGGACCATCTTTTCGAGGAGTCGTAATGTGACTGGAATGAAGGGACTATGGAAAAAACGCATAGTGAGAAAAACATATACTGTACACAGGACTCTGTTTTTCAGGGCATTTGTGGCTATGCTTATATCTCCAAGAAAACTCATCGCAAAATTTTGGAAAACATCTCATTTTGAAGAGCACACTTTCTTCTATCATGCTATTTATAAGAAAAAATTTTGAATATATAAGAAACGAGAGAAACATTTACGAATCTAAAAAATTGAGATTTTCTAGGCTTTGAAGGAAAAACTTAAAAACTTCATAATTTTTTCAAGGAAGATCATGGAGAGCTGGAAGTGATCTCATTTTACAGCCCAGACTTTCCCCTACATAGACTATGATCAGCTCAAAATAAAAACGTTTCTGCAAAAAGGAGGGGGAAGAGGTATCCTCAAACAGAACAGTCCAGATATTTAAATTTTAAAGAATGAATTTTTTTTGAAAAAACATTTCTTTTTGTTTTAATTTTTCGAGTAGCTTGTTTACTCACATTTTCTTACAAAATTAACCGAAATTGACCGTTCCCAGGCTAAACTAATTGGCGAATTAGATGATGAAGTTGTTCGACTGCTGATGATACATTTGAAAAAGTCCTATTTTTATTGGATTGTCACATCTCTTTTCTTGACAAATTGTCTTTTCCTTCATCATTCAAACTCATTTTTTCCATTTATAATTCTTCAAAGCTATTGAAGCTTCGATTGAAGACGCTTTGGGTTCTTAAAGAGTTAAATACAACACGATCCATTTTTCGTTTGAATTATGCCTCTATCTTTTAACATGTCTTCAATATCTTTAAAATTGTCAAAATAATAAATATCACCTTTAACTGGATTAGTACTATCTTGTTTTTCTTTAATGAGTTTTTCTAAGGAAAAACCTTTTCTTATGCATATGATATCACCCGATATCGAATGACACGCAGGACAAAAGTCATCTTTACCATCACCATAGTAAATCACTCTTGTATTCATAAATTTTGCTCGTACTTCATCCATTAGTTGACCTTTACATAAATTAGATGGACAACTATTATTACACAAATAGTCGTGATTATTTTTAACACGATCTCTTGAATAATTATTTATTTTTAATCTTGTATTATAATCGTCCATAAACTTGGATTTGTATAAAATTTTCGATACATTCTTTGATATTCTTATTCACTAAAACTTCATTAATTATCTCATCATACCTATGCACATGTAATTTATAATGGTACTTCGATTTTCAGTAAAAACAAATGTTTGTAGATTCATTTCATAACAAATCGTAGTAGAAATTCGAAAAGTTTGAATATTATCAAAATACTCATACGCCTTTCGTCTTGCTTAAGATATTTCATACGGTTATTTTTTTGTAAATTAAAACGTTTTCTATTGTATGTCTAAGTGTTTAATAGATTAACAAAATTATGTTGATTATCAGTAAGTATGTAGTCTACTATATTAAATTGCTATTTTAATATGTTTTATTTACAATTTTTATGATAATTTTTGACTATCTTCAACACCTGGAGTACACGTGATAGTCAAAAATAACTAACAAAATTCTACTCTTACCCATCGGATATAATTGCAATATAATATTTTTTATTAGATGATTTATTTTGACCTAATTTTTTCATTAGCCTTTGAGCACCATCTATTAATTGAATATTTTGATATGTTTCAATAATTTTGTCTTTTTTCACTTGTTCTTCACTCAATTTTTCATATAAACGATCCATTCGTTTGTACCAAACACCATCTTCTTTATTTTTGTTGAATTTTTTCAACAAAATCTTTATCTGAACAGAGTAAATCAATACAATTATGGGAATTTTTATCAATTAATGTTGCATTAAAATCAATTAAAAATATATAGTGAACAACAACAACTTTCGCTTTTTCTTTTCCTTTTCTTGACATAGTGACAGAAAACAACAGATAAAAACTTTTTCGATCGTTAAATAATAAAATTAAGTTTAATCGAAATAAATAAAAAAATATTTACCGCGCTATCTGTATCTATTTTTTTTTCACAATAAGAGGAATTAGAAACTGCTGAAATATTTAATTAACACTTTCCTTTGATATCAGAAGGGAGTAAATGTAATTAAACAAAAGACGTATATATTAAAAATTGTGATTTTACGTTTTTTTAGTGACTCCACAAAATTCTGATGATGATGGTGATGTACCCAAACTCGCAGTTACACAAGTTTTAGAAATTAAAAGCGATGATGACGATTTTGATAATGTTCAGCCAACGACAAAACCACAACAACACACCACTGTATCAGCTATTGAAGACAAACCATTGACTACCATTCCTTCAATTCAACATCAATCGCCCTCTTCTTCATCAGCAACGACTAAATTCTCAAATAATTTACCCGAACCGTCGCCAACATCCTCTTCACGAAGACAGGATGATACATCAACAATAAAACGAAAAGATTCGTTTACAAGTTTACCAGATGATAACGCGCATTATCGTTATATATTTAAAGAATTAGATCCGAAAAATGAAATGAATCTAGGTTCTTCACAATCAAGTTTAAACAGTGTAGAAAATAATGAACGAAAACAACAGTCAAATCAAGAACAAGAAAATAAACATAAATAAAAGAAAAATAATGAAGCACATAACGAAAATAATAAATCAGACGACTCTAATGAACGATTTAAAAACTGATATCAAATGATGAAGAGTAATGAAATCTTTTTTCTGTGATAATAGACAGGTTTGTGTGCGTGTGATTTTCACATTTTAGTTTAAGTTTTTCTACATGCGTATATTTATATTTATTTTCATCAAAATTTGAAAGAAAACTTCCAGTTTTGTTTTATGTGATACGTGTATGCGTATTAATGTTGTAATATATTAAAGAAGCAATTGTCATATTAAAGACTATTTATGCATTCGTTTGTGACCACAATACAAGAATATGTAATATAAATTTGATACGAGCTAGTGTTAATTCTGTTGATAATATGATAAGGAAATCACATTTAAATTTAATTTCGTTTTTTTCGTAGAATTTTCTTTTATTTTATAAATTTATTTACAACTGCTAAACGTTTCGAAGTCTAAACCGACTCCTTCTTCAGTAGTACAAATGATATGAATAACAAGTGATTACAGAAAAGAACACACTAT